GAAATGGATATGTATATCTCTCTCCCCCTATAGCAAAGATTTTATTATATATACGTAAGCTGTGATTGCTATCATAATTTTTAACTTATATTACATTACTGATTATGCTTTGTTTAATGATTATACGAAATCGTCTGACAAGGCACTTTAATAGGCGCTTTAAATAATTTGACAAAAAAAAAAAAAAACAAAAGATGGGGAAAAAGAAACGAGAAAAAGATATTGGATTTGCGTGGAAGCTTATTCTTGTAAATATGTGTTGTGTCTATTGCGCTTAGCCAGTAAGAAAATGAGAAAAAAGTTCTTAATGAAAGTTCCTGCGTACTTCCTCCTCAAGCTTTCTTTTATTCATTATCTGTCTCTCTTTCTCTCTCTCTCTTCGTTACTTTGCGACATTTTCACTATCGTTTCGATGTTTACCAATTTTCTGTGATTTTCCAACGTCTCCAGTAGTATCTGCTCTTTTATCAGCATGTGACCAGACACAGCTATGAAGTTTCTAATGAGTTTCTTTAATATGTTTATTTTTCGTATGATTCTCTCCATTTCGTGTTTTAGTTCTGAAAAGAGAAAATAAAGATTTTAAATACAAAAATATTTCGTGAGACACGAATTTCGCGCATCTTTATTCAATCAATGATCCCGGGATTTGTTTTCTGCAATCTTTTACTTTGTAGCTGTTCCTGTTCTTTGAGAAATTTTTTGTATTCGAATAGCACCTTCTGATATTTGACACTTTCAAATTTAATTGTACTTGAGACGCTTTCTCGATAGCCTTCTGAATGACTATAATATTATAATAAGTCTATTCTTTTTGACTGAACTTTTGTACTAGTTCATCTTTTTTCCTTTTCTCTCTAGAAGAAGAGAAAAGGAAAACAGATGAACTTGTGCAAAAGTTCAGCCAAAAAGAACAGGCCAATTGTTATTGAATGAAAAGTTTACTCATATAGGTGTTGAGTTTCCTAACAGCAAGCAAAATTATTTCATATCTCTTTACATATGGCATTTCAATTCACATCTAAAAGTATACTATCAAAATCTGACTAAAATTATTTTGAAACAATTTTACGAATCAAAGAATGTTTTAAAGCATGTGTAGCATTATATTGATCGTATCCTTTAAAACATAAATTTACTTCTCACTTTTTCACTTTTGGTCCTCCGCAGTGCCTTGTTACTGAGAATTGAGAGAATAATGGTGCTGTGAAGGCACAACTTAACAGCCTTGGCATTTAGAAGTGTGTTGGTTATGACATTCTGCAGAGTGTCTTCGACTTTATCCTGGTTCTCGTTGTGTCTGTCATCGACATACTCTGTAATCATAAAACGCAAGTGATTCTAGAATGAGATTTCCGAGTTTAGAAAACTGTGCAAACAGGCGCGCCTACGTCAACGACGTATACTTGTACTGTTCTTTAAACATTAATAACCTATTCAGAGGCATCATCGACTTCGTAGACTCCTATAGATTTTCTCTTGAATAGGTCTAAGCTCGTTCAGCGAGATCGCACCGATCGGGAATTTGTTGAGTGCGTTTAGCTGTTTTGCAGATTGCTCCAACTGGTCAAGCTCCATCTGCTCCATCGTTGACTCCAAGTCTTCACTTTTTCGTATGCCAGACAACTAGACAAGATATCATTTAGGTTTGCGAAGCCCGAATTCATCGCAATTGCATACGGAAAGTTGAAACTGCGCAGCATTTATGATTCTTTGATGAATACATCGTGTACACACAGGAGTAAAAAAAATCACACAATACTCATAATAGACCTTTTCATCGCAAGCAAAAAATTGTGCGCCTGCGCAAACAAACCTAGCCTCACCTGGAGGACTTTCGTACACTTTTCGTAAAAATCCACGTGAAAAGATCGATTACTATTAAAAAAAAAGTTTTCTTAATTATGGCAAGCACAAATGATAGAAAAGGAACAACAAAACGTTGCTGTTATGGTTTATGCGAAAGTGACACACGCTTAAAAAGTTTTTAAAACTGATAATTATTATTTTATCTCATTTCCCAAACCATGCCTGTCATTTAGAAAGGGTAATGTCGAAACAAAGCAATTAAAAAATCACACGAAAAATTGTGTTAAATGCAATAAATGCAGTATATGGGTGAGAGCATGTGGTCGTCCTACTCCGTTTAACAACATTAAATATGTTAAAAAAGACACGTATATATGTTCGTTGCATTTCCATGGGGAAAGTGGACCATCTGACGAGTACCCGAACCCTATTCCTTTACTAAAAAATAAAAGAAAAGTGAGAAAATGAATAATAGAAATTTTTTTTATCATTTATTTTTATTTTTTTCTGAAGGTATATGTTTACTCTAAATCGTAGAAAAATTTTATTTAAAATAATATATAATCATATTGTTTTATAGGACGTATTAAAAATATAAAAGACTAATAAATAATCTCTCAACTAATTCGCATTTTTTTTCGTTTGTTTTTTACTTCCTACATTTCAACCATCTTTTTAATTGCTCTACGCTGTGTTCTTGAACTGAATTATAAATTAACATAGCACCAGGAACATCAAGAGAGAAAATATTTGCTTTTACGAATGGAAATGATGAAGCCATAATGTAAAGCGTACAAAACTGTACGAAACTTTTGACTTTCCCGGACTTGGTCGATCCCCCCATGTTCGCGTCTGCGCATTTCGAACTATGAAAAGGTCTATACATGAAGGAAGATATAAGGAGACTCCACTCGGTCTCGCCAGTCTACAAGACATGAATCCATTTTAGGTTTCGAGTTCCGTTTCCGATTCTCGACACTCGCAGCGCTCGTGAATTTAGTAGTGCTGCGCATAATGAGTGCGAGTAAGAGAAATGATCATTTCTCTTACTCGCACTCATCAGAATCGGAAGCTGAACTCGAAACCTAAAATGGGTCCACTTTTATTTTACGGAGTGGAGTCTCCTTATATCTTACTTCCTGTCTCTGCCCAAACTTTGGTCGGCTGACATACCCCCACCAAGGTCCGTGGATTGGCGCCAATCCACGGACCTTGACCCCCACTCCTCTCAATCCACTGCGCATCCACCGGAATGGTTCACCTTGGCTGCGTTCATAAAGTTTACTCTTTAACTAAGAGTTAACTAGAGTTAACTCTATAGCGTTCAGAAACTCGAATATGACCGGAAGTATGTTCAGAGTAAGCCGTTCAGAAATTCGACAGGATTAACTCTAGAGTTAACTTTCTTAACTCATGTCAGAGAGGTGGGTAGAAATAACTCGACGTGCGCAGTAATGAGTATCAGCTTACTAACCTAAATAAGAGGTAATTATAGGTAATGGTGACTGATGTAAATACGTGCCTCATAACCTGTCTACACTAAATATTATAATATTATAATATTTAGTGTAGACAGATTATGAAAAAAAAGATATGTTAAAAATCTAGATATATAAAAGATATGTTAAAAAAGATAGTATGTTATAAATCTTTTTTTTTATAATAATTATTTAAAATTTTTTTCACTAAAAAATAAAAAATAAATTACCTGTAACATTTTGTACTAAT